TACTGTGTACTTGCGTACTGCCTGGCTGGTAGACACGCTCACGCAGTGTGAGCTGTGTACCAGCCAGGCAGTACACAACTACGTACTGATACTCATGATAATAATAAAACGTACTTAATTAGAAAATACTGGACATTTATATGTCTGGTATTTTCTCAGATTGTTTCCTGGACAGAAAGCCCAAATACCAAACTGTCTGGTTCAAAACCAGATACTTGGCAACCCTAAGTGCAGTGGGGCTGGACACCTCCTCACCTGTCCCGCACCCCCTCCTCCCCCGGGGTGCAGCAGGGTCAGAGTAGCTTTCCATCCAGGGTGCAGTGTGGCTGGCTGAGGCTGGAGCAGCTCCCTTGCCTGCAGTGGGCTAGCCTGCAGGACCTCCACTGGCAGAAGTCCCTGGTGCAGCTGCCACTGGGGATTAACTGGTACAATGATTAACATTAAATCATTTAACCAGTTAACATTTTTCATGGGTATTTACATCTCCAATTATAAGGCTGTATTTTGTACTTCTCATGTCAGGGATAAAGCCACCTAAACTTTGTAATTTTAATGTTTTTGGAATGCAGTTTTCATGAGAATTTGTGCACTAGACTCTCAACTACTAGGTTCAAATTCTTCCTAAATTAAAAACAAATATGATTTTGCTAATTTCCATAGCTGTAAGCCACCCCCAAAGTAAATACAAAAGGTGCATTAATTTTATATTTCTTATTCATTCTTGTTTTGAAAAAATTGAAGTTTTTTAGCAATATGCCTTTGATGCTATTTCAGCTTTGTTGCATTGGTGAAAATGGAAGAAGAAAAAGATGAAAGCAGCTTTAATCTATAAAACTATCTTTTGGGGAACAGAAATCCACAAAATACCTGAACAATGATTTTCTTAACAGCTTTACGAACATTTACAAATATATTTTTCACATTTTTAGTGGTCTCATACTTGTCCGCAGTACACATCATAAAACCAATGTTAAGTCTGGCTCCAGGGCAATCTTTATGCAACAGAGGTCCAGAATATCATTCAGTATCCTTGTCTTCTGAAAGTGGCCGAGACTAGGTGCCCCCAGAGGCCAGAACCCACCCCACCTTCCTACCTTTAGGAAGTCCCTTATACTCTGTGTTGGCGGTCCAGTGGCTCCCAGGGAGGGTGGGTCTTGGACCCACCACGCTCCGCTCCACTCCCCAGGTGAATGCCTTATCCCCTAAGCAATCTCCCCCTCCCCCGTCATCCATTCTCAACCTCTGACAAACAGAGGCTAAGGTCACAATTCCTACCTATCCTGGCTAATAGCCATTGATGGACCTATCCTCCATGAATTTATCTAGCTCTCTTTTGAACCCTGTTAAAAGTTCTGGCCTTCACAACATCCTCTGGACACTTTCAGAAGACAAGGATACTGAGCTAGCTGGACATTGGGTCTGAACCAGTATGGTCATTCTTATATTGATACTGCTACTGCTGGATATGACATATCCCTATGACACCACTAACTTTAAAATACATGAAAAACAGGAGATAATACTCTGATGATATGATGGAAGTATTGTCAATCTCAATGCATAGTTCTCAATGGCCGCATATCTCAACACTGCATATAAAATTATCCCCCTCTTTTGAGTTCCAGTAAATATTCAGCAGTTTTATTTCACCTCTAAAATGTATTGGGAAAGTATTTTTTACGGTTGCTAACAGAGAATTCAGAGCATATCTTGGCTGATATAAATTGTCATTTCTACATTCAAGTCTGTGGAGCTATACACTAGCTAGCTTATTAAAGTAACAGTCTGTTATTTCAAAAGTAATGTCAAAAATCATGGAAATAGTCATAATAGTAAAATGATACTGGCGCATATATTACTGTAAAAGCAATGCCCCTTTGCAAGTAAGTATATGGTTGTAGGAGCCAGGATTACCGAATGTCAACCATGAAGCAAAAATCTGTGATAGGAATGGAAAATACAGTAGGAACGGGGCATGCCAGTGTGGCTCTTTCAGCTAATGTATTTATGTATCTTGATAACATATGCAATAATAAATATGCTATTACACAGATTATCATAGGCAGAACACCTTACTCACATTATATATATATACACACACACACACACACACACACACACACACACACACACAGAGAGAGAGAGAGAGAGAGAGAGAGTGTCTGTCTCCAAATCTGTTTGTTCAAGAACTCCTCCTAAATGGTAAGAGCTAGGCCCACCAAATTTGGAGTGCAGCTTCTTCTTCTAACTTAAAGCAAGGGCAGGGTTTGGTTGTGTCAGGATAAGCAGAAGCTCTGGGAAAGGAACAGTTTTCCATAACATGCAAAGGGAGGGGCTGCTGTTCTGAGGGAAGCGATATGAGAGTGGCCACTGAGGGCAGCGAACCTGCAGGGGAGAGCTATCCTACAATGGGTTTACTGGAGGCATCCGTAAAATCAAGGGAGTGGCCAGCAGGTCTGGGGTTCCTCCATCTTGCCTGCCAGCACACCAGCAAGTAGCCCTCTGCCCCAAAGTCTTCTCTCTCTCCTAGTCCTTGGCCACAGCGCTTTGGGGGGAGGGGAGAGACAGGCCCTGGGTAGGCGGGAGGTAGCCTGGGTGGGGAGAAAGAACATGTGCCGGGCAGGCTGAAGGGTGGCCTGGTGGGGATAGAACAAATCCTGCGGATATCGGGGGGTGGTGGTGCAAGAGAATACATCCCTGGTCTCCAGCTTCTTGCACACACATATCCCCAAGGCCCTGCACTGAAGGACCTGGGCAACTAAAAGAATCCTGCACTAAAAGTTGTCTAGTTGTTCAAAAACAGCAGCAGATCAAAGTGTACTGGAGAACATTTAGTACACAGCAGCAGGGTCAACATAGTCATTAAGCACATGGCAGGCTAGTGTGCAGGAGACTTGCATGCTGACTTGCTTTGCATTAAATTGCTGTACAGACATACAGTAAATTTGGAGAGAACAGAATCTAAGGTCTAATGCTGCAGGCTCCTGCTATTTAGGGCACATCTACACTAGCCCCCTACTTCGAACTAGGGAGACTAATGAGGGCGCGGGATTGCTAATGAAGCACGGGATTTAAACATTCCTCATGGAATGGAGGTTTAACTGTTAATTCGAACTAAGGGTTTATCTTAGAATCGCGCTTCTCTGCCGCGTGTAGACACGGGCAGTTACTTCGGGCTAGTCAGTTTCCAAAATGGCAACCGGCCGGGAATATGCTAATCAAGCGCGGGATATTTAAATCCCGTGCTTTATTAGCAATTTTGGTCGCCCTCATTAGCCTCTCTAGTTCGAACAAGGGGACTAGTGTAGACATACCCTTAGCTACTTACTTTGGGGGAAGAGTGACTGGCAAAAAAACCCAACTACTTTGCTTCCTCTTGAGGAGGCCCTAAAATAGGAGTAGAGAAGCAGATTGTCCAACTTCCTCTAGCATGACTTACTAAATTGAAAAAAGCGTATTTCAGAGATGGGTGAAAATTTGTAATAGGCCTTATTTTTCCTAAACAGACTTTTTTTTAATATGAAGCATAAAAAATACTTACCATCCTTCATCATCCTCTACTTCAGGTTCAGACATTTCATTTTCAGGAGTGTCTGCTATTGCCTGAGTTAGCTTTGATTTGAATTGGTCCAGCAGTGCCAGTGTCTGAAATTAAATATATTTTGTTTTACTAAAGTTGTGTAACAATAAAATATTCAATTATGTTTGGATTACTTGAAGAGTAGTAAATTGAACTGGATAAAAATTGTTCAAAAATATATTTGAGGAAGCTCCTCCCACACAATTCACAAATTCCCCTACCTCTTCAGTGATTACCGTATTACCTTTTTGACATGACCATATGATGTAAGTGTTGAGAGGCAAGATGTAGTTTTACAAACTGAATGAAATAATTGCCCTTCAATGTGATCATTCAAGGCTATGTCCTACAAATAATAATTTATGATAATTTATTAAAATAAATGAACTATATTTGCTATTGGTACATAATAAGAATTATAAATATTAATACATACAAGTAAGGTAAGGAATTTGTCATAGGTTATGAAGTTTGGTCATTCATTTACAATGTCTTAAAGCATATTTACTTAAAGGAGCAGAGTAAGATAATCAATAAACACCAGAGACTACTGAGAACAATTGTCCTTTTTTTCTAGTGAAGAAATCAATGAAATAAATTAAAAATAATTCAGATTATGATGTCCTAATTTGATTGACATTTATATGCTATATTTTACAGTGCTGAGACAACCTTTCAACTTCTGTGCTAACATTTAAAAAAAATTGTAACAGTATGTGAGGAGAAATATGTAGTTTTTTTATATATATGCACATACATAAAATTACAAAAAATTCTCACAGGAAAAAAAAAAAGACCAAGTATTATTTTGTTAGCTACAATTAGCTAATAACATAGTAAAAGCATCCTGGCTAATAACTTACATTGGTTAATTACATCACAAAGAGTTTTAATAGTTTGTGCTGCAAAGAACTGCAAGAGACTCATAAGAGAGCTGCAAGTCTCAGTCTGAATCTCATTGTTGTAACTGTACAGATACACTACATCATAATCACATTCATTTATAACTTATTTTACTTTGTGAAACCGTATGACTACTTTTATATTTGTAATCAAATTGTAAGAGTGAAAAAAAACTTTTTGAAATCTTTCTTCAAAAGTTAAAATATAGGAATCAAAACCAGAAATATTTCAAATGTGCAACTGTACCTAAATTTCCTTTTGCAAGTAAACTTATCTTTGGGAATTTCCTGGCTTATGAGTTCTTATGCTAGTATAGCATTAATGGGTTGGTTGGTTTGGTCTGGTTTTTTGGTTAGGAAGTGTGGTTGCATTTAATGCCCATCTTTTCTATTTAAGAAAATGGGAAGGTGAAAAAGAAAAAAGAAAAATTTCAGAACTAATGATTTTGCACATTAATGTGTAAGATGATATGTACGGTGGGTATCACAGATTATTCATTTCTGTCTATAAATATTGGGGTACCTCACTTAACTCTTTCTCCAGGGATACAAACAAGTTGCTTCCCTCCTCCCACTTTCCCAGTGGAGGCTTTGTCTGTGAGAGCAGGGGAAAGAAAACCCTCTTGTAAAGTTCATTTTGTTGCATTAGTGTAAATCC